AAAAGGAAGAAGTCTTGGCAGAACAGGAGAAGTGACACAAACTTGATGATCGGATCGACTTAAATATTATTCATGGCATAGAGCCCAGTCCATGCTCTAGCTGTTTCTATGGCTTGGGCTTCATTGGTCTCCCACTGCTCCACTACGTCATTTGCCAATGGGTCATCTGGATTAGGAGCACTTAACAAAGCCTGGATCGATAGCAGAACTGTGCGGATCTGCAGTGCTGGTGACCACTTATCTTTCAAAATATCTAAACATATTCTTCCCAACTTGTCTACATTAGGATGATAAATTTTGGTCATGAAACGTACTTTAGGTGCTGCCATTGGGTATTCTTCTGGCAGAAATAGTTCAAGTTTAAAAGTCCCTCCTTCAAAGGGGGAATCCTGGGGGCCAGCAATGACCACGTGAAAATAACGGGCGTTGCTCTCGTCTGGTTCGGCTTTAATCCCAGGTACTGGTTCTGCCAGAAAACGCTGGGTTTCCTTGATGATCCTGCGGGGCAGCCCGGCCATCTTGTCAGATCCCCCACATAGGAGAGGTCTGTCTTATCCCAGCCAGAACTCATAGTGCCTATGGACTGCCCCATGCCTTTGTATTGATATACCATGTTGACAAGCTGCTTGGAGGCAATGGCTACTGAAATGTGTTCCTTATTTCAAAGCTCATAGATTTAACTTTGACAAGCTCTCAAAAGCTGCAATCTGCTACATCCCCAGCCATGGTGCACAAAAGGTAGGAGTAGAACTCTATCACCTTCTTTACTATTTAGGAAATAATGTAAACACCAGCTACAGCCTGGTTATCAACTGCAATGATGATTCCATGGTGAAACTTGAAGTCCTGTGTGGTGGTCCCATGAAAAATTTTGATTCACAGCTCTTTGGAGACAGTCCATCTGGGTGCATACAGGCTTAGTTCATCATTGAGACTCTCTAGACCTAGGTCAAATACATCTGCATGACCTTCAAGTCTGAAAACCCCATGCAGGTTCATCAATAGTGACCCCTGCTAGGCAGTGCCATGTCTAATTATGCCTTCCCCTTGCCTTCTTATGCAAATTACTTTACTACTTTCCCAAGGTTCCACTTTGAATAATGTTATGAAAACATACAGAGAGAGAGAGAGAGAGAGAGAGAGAGAGAGAGAGAGAGAGAGATTGAGAATCTTACTGTTCCTTAGTTAAGAAGGCCTTCTATCCCATATGCTGCACGGAGCCAGGGACAGAGTCCAGGCGGGATGGTGCACACCTGTAATCTCAGTGCTGGGTAGGCTGAAAATAGGAGGATCACCACAAGTCCAATCTGCATAGGGAGACCCTATACCAAATACACAAATGAAAAAAAAAACCTTCTAGTTTTCTGTTTACATAATAAGGGTATGACCAATGATTTTCCTATAATAAAATGTCTGCCCAGAGTGAGTTACAGTCTTCAATTTTAGACATCAAAGAGATTGGAATAATTTTTTCAAAATTCCACTTTACTAGGTGCCTATTCATAAAAGAACAAAGGAAGGTATAGTTATTAGAAATATGATATCCACTTCTCCCTTCCAGAATCTGCAGAGGTATCAGTCTAAAAGTTTGGATCATGGGGTTAAAACTGTTCCCTGAATTACATAATAAACTAATGTGCAAGGGAAAAAGGAATATCCAGTATACCTCATCCTCACTTGAATACATCTGCAAAGATATTACATCCATATATGGTCACATTCACAGGTACTGAGGGTTAAGACATCAACCTAACCTAACTTTTTAGAAGACACAATTTAATCACACCAAAGGCCAACACCCGCTAAGTACCAGCATCTATGTTAAGGTATCTCTTGCTGCTTCTAATTTTTATTTTATATATGTAGCATAGTAGTCAAGAATGTGAGTTTTGAGAATGGTGTTGTGGCACACACCTATGATCTCAGCACTCAAGAGGCGGGGGCAAGAAGATTGCCTCAAGTTCTAGGCCAACCTGAGTTGCACAGTGAATTCAAGGCTAGTCTGGACTACATAACAAGACCCTGATTCAAAACAAACAAGCAAGAGTTTACACACCTATAATATTCAAATACCAGAACTTAACAAAAAAAGGGGATACAGATGAATGTCCATTTTGTATCTGTGTATTCAAAGTGGTTTTGATAGATATATAATTACATTCTCTTAATAAGTAGAGGGATTTGTTCTAATGGTGTTTGTAAATAGGATATTATGTCCTCATCTTGTACAGCAATTAACCACTAGGAAGAATGTATGCAATGTGTTAATTATTGAAACTGCCCTACCAATTTGATTTGAAACTGTCTCATTGCTATTTGTTTCTCAATAAAATTATGGAAAAAAAACCAAGCAAACAAACAAATGTGAGTTCTGAAGTTAGATTTCCTAGATCTATGAGTATATGAGATCATAAATTAGTTAACCTCTTAAGCTTTAGGTTGTTCGTATGCAAAGTGGGTACGAATAGTAACTCTTCTCATTTTCAGACTAAATGAGATATAAAACATTTGCTAGATTCTTGGTGCATTCTAATTCTTTAAGAGAGCCAGACACGGTGGCCCACACCTGTAGTCCAAGGTTCTGACAAGGTTGAGGCAACAGGATTGCTTGAGCTCATGATTTTGACTCCAGCCTGGGCAACCTAGAGAGACCTAAGAAAGAAGGAAAGAAGAGAAGGGGAGAGAAAAAAGAAGGAAATATGAACCCACCATTGAGATTAAATATGTTACTATAGTTCCATAATTGCTGCAAATATTTTAAGATTTATTAATTTTATTTTTTTTAGTGTTGAGGAATCAAACCCAGGGCCTCCCTCATACTAGACAAGTGTTCTACCACTGAACTCTACTCCTTACCTATGCAATCTTGTATTTCTTTAAAAAGTAAAACTATGGGGCTTGTATTACTGTGATAATGCTTTCTTAGTGTGTGTGGGGCCCTGGATTCAATTCCCAGTGCTGGAGAAAGAAGGAGGAAGGAGAAATAAAACATTACAAATGCTCATAGACTCCTAACTCTCATGTCTTTTTTCTCCTCTATCCATTTAAAGGTAACTATTGTTCTGAAGTTGGTATATATTATTTCAATGAATATTTTTATACTTTCACTTCATATACTAGGAGTCATAAAGAATACTTACCTTTTTTTGCCATAATGGTCTTTTATTTATTTATTTATTTTGTGGACCCGGGGATTGAACTCAGGCCCTTGTGCTTGCCAGGGAAGTGCTTATTCTACGGAGCTATCTCCCCAGCCCCCTATAATGGTCTTTTAATGTATGCTTTGTAGCTTGCTTTTTTCAGATCATTCATTAGTATATGTTTTTTAATACATAATGCTTACATTCCTTGTGTGAAGTTTGTGCATGCACATAACATCTTAATTACTTTTTCTATTCCCTTTCTCTCTTCTCCATCCCTACTTCTTCATTTATTTTTATTTTCTTCTGTATTTTAACGAAGGGTCCACAAGATCTTCAGGGTCTCACTACGTGATTCTCTTGTTTACAGCCTCCCAAATGCTGAGATTACAGGCACACACCACCATACCCAGTCTCAATCCCTGTCTCAGCATGCCCTAGGGGCATGACAGGCAGGGCAGACCTAGGGAGGATCAAACCCTGGCCCCTGCGCCTGCTTGCAGGCACTTTAATCCACTGAGCAATTTGGCCAATCCTTATTTTTTTATTTTTGAGTAGCTTTGTAGAATTTATTTATTTATTTATTTATTTATTTATTTATTTTGAGACAGGGTCTCACACTGGCTATGAATTCACTATGGAGTCCAGGCTGGTCTTGAACTCTCAGTCAACCTCTTACCTCAGCTTCCCAAGTACTAGGGTTACAGGCATATGCCACCACATCTGGCCATTGCTGAGTAAGTTTTTCTGAGTCATTATCAAAGCTAATTGTAAAGATAAGGAATATGTGACTAACACATGTTTTTCTGATAAGACTAGGGTATAGCTTCCTTTTGTATTGTTTCTCAGATTTTTTCTGTCTTCTGGTACTAGGTATTAAACCCAAGGCTTTCACAATGAACCATATATCCTAGCCCTTTTTATTTTGAGACAGGATCTTGTTAAATCACTATATTGAACAAACTGGGCCCAAACTTTCAATCATTCTGATTCAGCCTCCTGGAGCACAGAGGTATGTACTACACTATAATGCCTGGCTATGGCTAGCATTTTTTGTATATGTCCTATTTAAAAATTCCTTGTCTGAATGCATACATTTTCAAACATTAGGGATTTTTCCCTATTTTACTCTTTCATTTTCTCCTTTTCCAGTAGATAGAAGAGTCTGTGTTTTGTTGCCTTCTAGGAAGTACTGTATGCGGCCAAACTAGAAAGAGATTATCTTGTAAACTATTTGAGCTTCTCTTTTCCAAATACATCAAGGAAAATTAGTACGAAAGAGAATATGGCTATGTCAGATTAAAAAGAGATGTCCCAGGGCTGGGAAGATAGCTTGGAGCTCTAAGTGCTTGACTGGCAAGTGCAAGGACCCGAGTTTGATCCCCAGTACTACATGCCATGCTGGCCCTGAGCTGAGCCAGCTGCTGGTGCACACCTGTCATCCGAGCACTGGGGAGGCTGAGACAGGAGGATCACTACAAGTCTGAGCTGTGTAGTGAGACCCTCTACCAAATAAATAAATAGAGAGAGAGAGACAGAGAGACAGAAAGAGAGAGAGAGATCCCAGATTGGTACAGTGGGATCCATTTGTAATTGTTGCTACTCAAGATTACAGGCCATCCTGTACAACGCAATGAGATGCAAAATTGTTTTTGAAAAGGCCTTAGATTGCAGAATGAAATGGGGAGAAGTTAAGTTAGTTCAATCCTGGTCCTCTCTTCCGGCAGCCTCCTGGTAAGGCACTAGAAAGGTCTTTCTGCTTAATGAATCTGGGACATAGAAATGCAAGACCCACTGTAACAAATATTATAAGCAATTTCTGCATATCAAATGTACCACAGGAGCCCAAGAGAGCTAAAGATGCCAAGTAAACAATATCTGTCAATGATACTGGTGGAGACAAATGATCTTTCTTAACACCTTCTCAAGTTTTTACATTGTGTAAGACCCAAAACTAGCCCTAAGAATATAACTGGGAGTGATTTCCCATCAACTGGTCCTAGCAGCTGTAGCTATATCTATTTATTTATTTATTTATTTTTTTAAAAATGTTTGTGCTTTTTTAAAAAAAAACATTTTATTTATTTATTTATTTATTTATTTATGTGTGTGTGTGTGTGTGGCCAGCTCAGCCCACCAGGGGGCGGGGCTGGCTGGCATGTGGTGCTGGGGGATTGAACCGCGGTCCCTGTGCTTTGCCAAGCTTGTTCCAAGTAGGTGCTTTAGACCACCCAGCCATCTCACCAGCCCTATATCTATTTATTTATGCGAAGATTTAATTGAGAGGGGCTGGTGAGATGGCTCAGTGGTCTAAAGCACCTACTTAGAACAAGCTTAACAAAGCACAGGGACCACGGTTCAATCCCCCAGCACCACATGCCAGCC